TTTCCGTACCTGCACCAAGTCCCCAACTTTATAGCGGGGCAGTGGTCCCGCCGACGCGTGTCGATTCTCATAGTCACGGATCTGCCGTTGATGTGTCTGATCTACGGCCTGCTGTCGTCGGCGAGCTAACGGGGGATAGGCCCTAGCCATTAAGTCCATGTAGTGGCGGGCCTTGTCTCGATTCTGGGCCCGTGTTGCTCTAACTCCCGTACCTACTTAGGAGGACAATTGCACCCGAGGGACACTGTTGGTTCTCAGTTGAAAGGGGGACAACCCAGTACTACCGTGTGAGGTGGCCCGATAAACGGCCAAAATGTGGTCGACAATGACCGGCCAGGGTCGGGTGTCTCCCGTTGTGATATTCCGTCTAAGGGTTGTCTTAATCAGTCGGTTGGCATTCTCCACCAGGCCGTTGGCTTGAGGCCAATGCCCCGGCGAGTAGATAATCTTAACGTCCGCCCTGACTAGGTGACGTTCTACTTCGCCTTGAAATTCCGACCCATTGTCCATGTGTACCTCTTCTACGTCTAGATGCATGCACAAAAATCGATTTACGTACCAGGCTACTTCCTGCGAATTACGGCTGGTCATGGGGTACGCCTCGATCCATTTTGAAAAATGATCGAAGACCACTAAAAGAACATTGACTTCTCCCTGATCGACGGGCCCTCTCGGAACGTTGATATTCGTCGTATCGATGCTAACCCTCTGAAAGGGGCGCTCTACACGAGTGGGCACCATCGTCCGAGGCATCTGTACCGGCGCCTTGTCTGCCGCGCAGGCCGGGCAATTCTGAACGATGTATTTCACATCTTCCCGAATTCCCGACCAGTACCATCCATTCTTTTCGATGGCTTTTTCCGTGTACTTGACCGCGAAATGGACCGCATCCTCCTCATGAGCGGCTCGTGTCCAATCGAACCTAGCAAGAGGGTGTGAAACCGTCAACCAACTAGACTCTCCGTCGTCATCGACCTTCCATTTTTGTAACGTCGGGCCCTGCCAACGATAGTCCTGCGCCCGCTCCGTGACTCTCTGCCGTTCGGCTTTGGTAAGTTCTGACAACGAGTCGCCTGACAGTCTCTGTAGCAACAGAAGGTCCGTCCAGGCTTCTGCCCGGTGGGCACTTGGCGCAAATCCGTCGGCTGTTCTAGCGTCCAGATACCGCTTTTCGGTAGGGACTTGGTCCGTTCTACAGTTGGGACAGACCCACGTCTTTTCACTTTGGTACCTAACGCACTGTCCGTGAGATTTGACCGTATGACACTGACTACACTGTACCCATAAAAGAAAACTGGGCCCTCCCGGATGTGACCCTTCTTGGTCTGGGATCATAGGCAAGGTACAGAAGAAACAGGGACTTAGGTGTGTTTCAGAGGACGAGTTGGGGCTAGACGAGAGAGCGAGGGAGTGGGATGAGGGTAGAGAGATAGCGTCGGCCATCTCCGATGAAACCTCCATTCTAGACTCAGGCGTCGTCCTTACGCAGCACGTGTAGCTCCCCGTAGTGCGGTTTCGTCGCCGCGACTTCTGGCCTCCACGGAATGAGTCGCTCGTTGGCAGGACACTTGTTGGGCGGCAGAAGGCACGTTAATCCATCGGCGTTACCATGCTGCCGCGTGGCACGGTGGCGGATGTCGAAGTCATAGTCTTGCAGACGCACCGCCCACCTACCCAGCGTCCCCGTGTAGTCCGTGTTGTTGCGTAGGGACAGCAGCGGCTGATGATCCGTAACCAGCACGAATTTCTGGCCATACAGATACAGTCGGAAATGTTGAATCCCCCACACCACCGCCAGGCATTCACCTTTGCACGCTTCGTAATTAGCCTGCGCCTGGCTCAGCGTCTTGGACACATACTCAATGACGTGCTCCCTTCCGTCCTTGTCGTGCTGAGTCAACACCGCCGATATCGCCTGAGGCTGCCAGTCTGTGTACAGTGCATGGTCTTGTCGGGTCGGGGCGCGCCAACACAGGAGCAGATGTCAGAGTCTCCTTCAACGCCTGAAACGCCGCTTCGTATTCCGGCGTCCAGATCAGCTGTTCCTCTTTCTTCAGCAGGTTCGTGAGGGGCTTCGCTATGCCGGCGAACCCCTTGATGAAGCGTCGGTAATAGGATGCCAGCCCTAGAAATGCCCGAACCTGGGTGAGTGTGACCGGCGCCGGGGCGTCATGAACTGCTGCCACCTTTCTTGGATTCGGTTTTAGTCCGTCGACCGTGACGATATACCCCAAGAATGAGATCTCCGACAAGAAGAACTCGCTTTTCTCCAAGGCCACTTTGAACCCCGCATCTTTCAGTGCATGCAAAGCCCACTCAATGTGTTCCACGTGGTACTCGTGTGTTTTTAAAAAGACCAAAATATCATCCATGTACACAATCACACAGAAATTAATCAGGGGCTGGGTCAGTCGGGTTTTGTTAACGAACTCAGCGAAGGCCATATTCATGGCCCGCTGAAACGTTGCAGGGGCGTTACAAATTCCCATGGGACACCGGACCCATTGCCACGTGCCCTCAAACAGGACAAAGGCAGTTTTGGGTCGGTCCTCCAGTCGGACTGCGACGTGGTGAAAACTGTGTCGGATATCGAACTTGGAAAAGACTCGAGCGGCCCCGATAGTGTCTAACAAATCATCAATTCACGGCAAGGGATACACATCTTTGGTAGTGATGGCGTTCAATTTCCGGTAGTCGATACATACCCGAACCGAGCCATTTCGTTTTGGCACGAGGACCACGGGAAAAGACCATGGTCCCATCGATGGTTCGACCCACCCCAACCGCTCGAATTCTCGTACCCTTTCCAACGCCAGCTGCCTTTCTTTAAGGGAATATCGGTACGGTCGGCAATGTATCAGGGCGTGATCCCCGGTGTCAATTGCGTGTTGTATCAAAGGGGTTCCCCGTATGTCGTGGTCCTGAATACTGACGGCCTCAGGATAGGCCCGTATAACCGCCAAGAGGAGGCGTTTGTATTCGTCCGGAACACGGGCTGGTAACTGAACTTCTACGGTTCCCCCAGGAAAGGAGACCGTCGTCGTAACCGTGGGGACCGCCGCGTTGGGGTATCGGGCGAGGCCCCAAACAAAGAGTTGTCGGTTTTCGCCGAAAGGACCGTCGCAATAAGTTGGTTGTCCACCGGACTTATCGGCTCGCTTTCCATGTCGCTGTCACTGTCCAGTTCTGGTTCGGCCGAGGGTTCGACCGAAAAGGCCTGCGCCAGTTCCCTTAGTCCCCACCGATACTCCCTCGTTCGGGGTTGAAACGACACCCCTTCTTTCAGGAGTATCGCGGCTTTTTCATTCGTGGGTAGGGACCGTGGAGGTCGAAAAGATAAATCGTACAGCCCCCTCAGCTCGGTAAATCTTTCAGGTAGGGGGTCCGTCCTGAGATACAAGGACGCAGGGGGTTCCGAAAGGTCAACTATTCGGGACACCCTCAGCAGGGGTTCCCCCTGCACCACGGAGGAGAACGCGTGCGACTAATTGGACTCGCTCCGAACTATTTCCAGTGGTTCTCGCCGCCAAGAGTGGCGCCACCGATCCTGAACTCGGATCGGATATCGGTCGGGTACATCAGTCTTGTCAGTTTCCGTCGAGGGTTTATTTTCGTCTGGTGACAGACGTCGGATCATGTTGATTTGATGGGCTTTCGTGGTGAGGCGATGCGCCGGCTGGGTACGCATGCGCACCGCCAGTCTCATTGGTATCGTTTGGGGTTTGGGGTGGGCTGATGTGAGCACCACCTTACAGCTGTCAAAGTGCATTCGCGCTCCGACCGCCGCCTGTCATGGAATGCCTAGCAGAACATCATACGCCTGTACATCCAGCACGATTACGTCAAACAAACAATGCATCCGCCCCACCCGTATAGGCACGTTCGTTATTCGCCCTTTACAATGAATACTATTTTCCGTAGCGGATATATACAGTTCATCCGGTCGGAGGGGCTGAACCTGTCCTTCCCTTCCCAACTGTTTCGTCAATCTCCAAGAAATGGCGACCGTCGATGATCCCGAGTCTAGGATGGCGGCCGAGGGGTTTCCCCAGACCTCACAGTCACACTCTACGCTTTTCCAGGTTATAGGATAGGCCCTAAGGAATACCTCGGGTTTTTTCGAGGCAGAATCTACGGTCTGGATCATCCCTATCCAGTTGGCTTCGTGCACCTCTGAGGTCGAGGGCTGTGACTCCTCGCTAGTGGGTGGATCCCATAGGACCGACTTTTTGCCCTTTCGGCTTTCCTCGAATCGGCGCCTGTTTTTGAGGCACCGTTCGATCAACTTTTCGTTAGCCGCTTCGGAAATGGTTAGCAGATATGGAATAGGGACGGGGATCCGAAGATCCAGAGCCTTCAAGGCATCCAATACGTCAATATGGCCATCCTTGTATTTAGGACCAGGTACCGCAAGATCCTTGAATCCTGGTCGCCACGGCCCGAGGTCGCTTTCCTCAGTAATCCGCTGGACGTGACGTATCACTCCGATGGTCCCGGGTTCGAACATCGCTGCCGCCATATACTCATCGGGTCCTATCTCAGTGGCCGTCGGGGTCACCATCTCCGTCGTTCCTGTGTCCATTACCGTGGCTACCCTCCCCTGTCCTGCAGCGGTGGGAGCAGCCAGCGGGATTTGGGAAGGTCCGGTGGGCCCGCCCTGAGTTCGGGGTTTCGGACAATCTTTCGCAAGGTGGCCTGGCTGATTACAGTTATAACAGCGTAGGGGTGGGACAGGCCCGGCCACGGCCGGTCTTATCATAGGGGCTCCGACAGCCATAGCCGCCTGTTGCCGTTGTGCGGCGGCTATGCGTTGCCGTTGTAGACCTTGAACAAACTCCGTCAACGGGGCTACTACCGTAACTAGTTAGGCCGCGACTTCTTTCATGGATGCTTCTTCCTCGCCCCGGCCTCCTTGCGTTTGACTAGAGCGACGGGAGGCCGAAGTAGAGGAAGAAGCTTTCCGATCCGAGCCTTTTTTTGTCGGACCCAACCCGAAGCGATCTTCAAACATTCATGCCGTAGCGGAGTAGCTATTGCGTCAAACACCCGAAGGGTCATCTTCGTCGGATTCTGAGTCCAGGCCCACATCGTAATTTTCTTTCCCGTACTTGATTGCGTACTGAATTAGCTCCGTCAGGGTATGTTCTATAGGGTTGCATTTCTTACGGATCTTTTTCCGCAGACGAGAATCTGACAGTCCTCTGACGAAATCAGTCCGTACCATTTTCTCATCCACCCCGGAGCGTTCGGCTAGGTACGTAAATCGTTCAGCATATCTAGCCAAGGTCTCCCGAGGCTGCTATGTGTATTCCTTTATTAAACGGAGGCATTGACCTGGTGCGATGTGATCAAATCTATCGAGAAATTTCCTCTGGAAGGCTGCCCAATTAGTGAAGG